CCAGCCTTGCCACCCTGTGGGGCTGTCTGAACTCTCCCTCCTCTGGGGCCACGACTGGCCAGTCGGTGGCCCTCGGAGTCCACGGTGGGAACCCAGGTGCCCTAGCTGGGCCTGGGCCTGGGCTCCCCAGGGATAAGAAGGTGAGGGGCTGCTGGCCTCCCACGCTCTGTGGGCTCCTGTCCCTGTGGGGCCAGCACTCCGGCCACTGGCTGCCTGTGGCTGCTGCCTGGCCTCCCTGCCTCCTGCTCCCAACGTGGAGCCAACCCAGCGCCATCCAGGGCCCACCCTCTGTTCCAGTTGACTCTGCTTTGGCCTCTTGCACCGCCTGAGTCACTCCCTAATTGCTCCCCTGAGAGATCTGGATTTTCCACTTCTCCTCGTGAGTTCCCCTTTCCCCAGCCACTCAGCTGTGGTGTGGAGCCCAGGCTGGGCGCCTGCTAAGTCTAAATTAGGACGGGGTGTTGGGGTGTTTCCTGTGGTCCCGTCTCCCCACTGCCTCTGGCGTTACTGGCTGCCCCCTCCTCCAGGCAGCCTTCCCAGGGCTGCCCATCTGCTCCATCGGGGCCGCCCCAGCGCTCAGCGGGAGTCCTCCAGCACTGGCCTCCCCCGCCCCGCCCCCACCCAGCTGATTCCCTTGGTCAGGTTGGCGCCTGCCCCCCGCAGAGTTTGTATATAAGGGAGGGACCACTTCACAGATGGGGAGAGCAAGACTCAGGGAGGTTGAATAACTTGCCTAAGGTCACAGTCAATGCAGCCAAAGTGGAATTGGGATTTAAAGCCAGTAAACTTGGCTGCAGAGAACGAACGGCCTGCAGATCTGCAGGACGATGGGAACAGGCAGGAAGGAAACCCTGGGGGAAAGGGAGAAGCTGAGGATGCCGACGGGGAGGCTGCCCTGCCCAGGTCCTGGCAGCGGCAGGTGAGGCAGGTCCCTCCTCTGACCAGCCCAGCCCAGCCCAGCCGCCCACTGTGCTCTGACTCCATGGCAGCCCCGCCTCTACTGAGCACAGCCAACTTCCTCTAGGTCCCGCAGAGCTGAGTGACAGGGCGCGCGGAGGAAGCAATGGCTGCCCTGGCTGCTCTGAGGAGGGCCGGTGCCCAGCCCGGCCCTTGCAGCTGGCCCGCCCCTGCCTGCCCGCCATCGGGGCCATGGCCTGTGGATGAGCAGGGACTCCTTCGAGGCCCCTCCCGCCGGGGCTGGTGGTAACCAGGTGTGATTCTGAGGAACCCACACTGTAAACTGGCCAGGTGATGTCACCTGGCTTCTCTCCTAGACGCCACCAAACCGGCTTCTGTGGGCCCCGGGGAAAGTGGAGGGTCCACAGGAGAGAGCGAGGTCAGCAGGGGCTCCTCCACCCCACACCCTGCTGCCCTGCTCTGGGACCACCAGGCCCCAAGCCGCCCCGCCTGGTGCGGGGCCTCCCTCACCTTGGCATTTGGGTCTGAAGGCCTCAAAGTTCCCCCCCCCTTCCCCTGCCACAGCTGCTGACCCCCTCGCCTTCAGAGTCCAGCCCAGGGTGGGCCCCGGCCAGGTTGGCACAGGGCAGCCACTCCAGGCACTGAGGGACTGCCGGCCCCGTCACCCACCTGCTGGTCTTCCCCCTGCTTAAGTGCAAAACTGGACAGAACACCCAGCCCAGGAGGTGAGGGTGCCGGAGCCCAGGCGGGCGGTCCGGGCGGGGCTACCTCCGTGTGGACCTTGCCTGTGCAGGGAGTGCTTCCCTCTCCCCACCCTCGAAGTGGCCAAGCCCTGGGCGGCCTGGGGGTGGGGGAGGGGGCCTTCAGAGCCGCTGCAGAGGCTGAGACAAAGAGGAAGCCCTGAGCTCTCCCCCCGCCCCCCCTCCGGTCTGTCTGAAAGCCAACTCAGCCTCGCGGGCCAGCAGCTCTGGTTTCTAGAAACAGGAACCTGAGCCCATCAGGCCTCCGGAGGCGGGGAGGCAGCTGCAGATATTTCTGAAACTGGGGAAGGGGCTGCAGGAACCCCAGGCTTAAGGGACACCGGCTGTCCAGCCAGCCCGCACTGCTTGCCCTTGCAAAACGGCTTGTTTTATGAGCCTGAAAACACCACCTCGCAAACACAGAAAGCACTTGTGGGAGCAGGTCAGAGCGCGCCCAGGTGAGAGGGAAGAGCCAGGGTTCCCTCTGCGGTCACCACGGGGGCAGCAGTGAGGCTCCGCGCCCTCTGAGCGCGCAGAGGTGGAGGGACTGCTTGGTGCTTGTCCGTGGGTCTCTGCTTCAGTGCGTCCCCAGGCACTGGGACTCCTGGCTCCCCTCCCCCCCCATCTCCTCCCCTCTGGTGTTTGTTGGCATGGACGCTCACTCAGGGCCAGTCTCTCCCAGCAGCACCGTGTTCCCCTCACTGCCCGCAGAGCTCACCGTGCAGGCCTGGGGGGTGGGAGGGGGGGTGACATACACACGTAGATGAGGGCTTCCTCCTTTCTTGCTTTATTCTTTTTTAAAAATATATTTTTTTTATTGATTTCAGAGAGGAAGGAAGAGGGAGAGAGAGAAACATCCATGAGGAGAGAATCATGGATCCGCTGCCTCCTGCCCGTCCCCTACTGGGGATCGAGCCCACAACCTGGGCATGTGCCCTTCACCTGAATGGAACCTGGGACCTTTCAGTTCGCAGGCCGACGCTCTATCCATTGAGCCACACCGGCTAGGGCCCTTGCTTTATTCTTAAAGCAGTGTCTGATGGGTATTAACCACAGGTGCTCCAATTCACTCTTTAAATCGCTGTATAATCCTCCACACTGGGCTCAGGCCTCCCACCCAGGGCCAGCATCCAGGGATGGGCACCCAGTCATATCCACGTCCATCTGTGTGTTTGTGTTTCGAACTACAGGTCTCTATCGGCAGAGGCCGCCCTTTCCACAGGCAGAAGTGGGGTCGTGGGGTCATGGAGTGGGAATATTTTTAATTTTAATAGATATTCTGCCAAAGTACTTTCCAAAAATGATGTAGCAGTTGGCAGCAGTGAATGCCTGTCTCCCCACGTTCCAGCCCACAGCTCACGCTGGCTGGTGTCCCTCTTTCACAGTGTTGCTACTCTGGGTGGGTGAAGGGTAGTGGAAGGCAGTAGCGTCATTGTCTTTTAAATTTAAATGGCATGATTCTGACTTTTAGGGTCTTTTTACATCTCACATACACTTAACCGTGAGCGAGTCCTCCCATGTTTGCCTTTGGGGGTTGGGTGGTGAGGCTGAACCTGTCCCCCGGCGCAGAGGCCAGGGCTGGGGTCTGGAGACAGGCTTTGCACGGCCCAGCGGCCTCTCCGGGCCCCCAGCGCTCCAGGACTCGCCCAA